AGTGAAAAACTTGGATTACAACTCCACAATGAGAGCATGCCAATTTATAGGCCTTGATGAAACTTCTAATCCACCTTTTCATCTTCCAACTTTCATGTAGAGTTCCGAGGCAAATAATGACTGCATCATGCCCGAAAAGACCATGCAAAATTGTATCTGTATGCAGAAAATTACAGCAATAATTGAGTTGGAAATTGAGTCAACTCCAACACTATTTTGGTCATGTGTGTCAAAATTTTCGGAATACTAAAACATACCCCTAACATTTTAATACATTCTTCATCATCTTAGGGTCAAATTAGGAAATAGCGAAAAAAAGACCAAAAATCTTCAAAAAATCTCAGGTTGCATGGTTTAAAAAACCACTCTACCTAACAACTCTATTTCGATTAAAAAAAATTCTAACTAGATTTGGCTCTACAATCCCACCTTCCATGCATTTCATAAAACACCCTAACTAAATCTTTTTGCTGTCTAAATTGTTAACAAAATGTGGTAAAATAATCATGTCCCTCTCTAAAAATTTTAAAAATCCTACACCTCCTCAGCCTTGCGTGTACTGTTTTGAGAGAGATGGTGTTTTTCTTTCCTTTGAAACTTATAGGGGGTTTATTTAATAATCTTTCAAATTTATGGGGTTTATCTAATATATATAGTGTGTTTTATGATATTTGAAACTTATTGGGGGTTTATCTAATAATCTTCCGAAGTTATGGTGGCGTTATGATATTAAGGTAATTTCATGAGTCATTCCCAATTCCTTTATTCATTGCCAAGCAATGAAATATCTGAAAAACACTCTTAATTTGAACAATTATCAGATGAGACACCTTAAACTTTAGAGTTTTTCCAAAAAAATCCCTTCCAATATTTTAGCAAAAAAAAAACTTATAGCATGTTTTATGATATTTGAAAATTATTGGGGGATTATCTGACAATCTTTCAAAGTTATGTTTTCCATTATTAAGCCAATTTCATAATCCATTCCCAATTCCTTATTCATTACCTAGCAAAGAAATATCAGAAAAACACATGTAACCTTTTTTACAATTTTTAATATTAAGTTTGCTTATATTTTTAACAGTATTAAATTTTTTAAAACATTTTAAATTTTATATTGTAATAAATATCATAGTAGAATAATTTTTATGTATAGGTGAACTGGATGAGCATGCATTGGGTGCACTGAGGGTGCTAGTTTCTTATAAAGAGAAGGGTAAAAGGACAGACAATTTGGTATTATAATGTGGTTTGAAGATAATGTAGAATGTGAAAAATAAAATATTAAAAAAATTAAAAAGCAAATATGAGAGTCTAAAGTTGGAATAATTCGAGTGATTAGAATTCTTATTTTACTGTACTAGTATAGTGCACGTGCTTTGCACGAGAGCATATCTATTTTATTTTATGTTTTTCAAATTTTTTTATTGGCTGCAAAATAATGAAATGACTTGTATAGCAATATAAAATCTGAACAACTACAATTTTGTTTAAATGAATAAATTATAAAATAAAATTGTGTATAAAGAACTGTATGATTAATTATTATAGTTCGGATTTGTTAAAATTTATTCATAATTTATTAAAATAATTATAATATATTAGTTAATTTCTTCTCTTTTAAGTATAATAATATTGTACATAGCATAATTATAATATTGTTAATAACTAAATTTTAATTTCATAATTAGTTTTTTACACTATTAGTAAATAATTTACTGAATTGTATACTTACTAAATTACAATGTAATCTATTAATTTTAAAAAATACTATTAGAATCATTATACTATTAATATTATTAAAATTATAATAAATAAAAATTATTTTTTATACTATTATCATACCTTTAAAATGCTAATAAAATGAAGGGTAACAAGTAGTCCTCCATAAGAGGTGAAACCCAAAGACATCATGCATAAGCCTAATGAATTTTTATTATTTTTAAATTTTCTAGAATTTAAATACTATATGAAGATAAATTTCAAATTTTCTATTAAATAACATATAATTAAATAATAAAATAATAATATGACCAAATATTTAGAAAAAGTGAGGAAATGCATAATTAGTAAGAGATTATATATAATTAGTGAATGATTAATTATAACTAATGACATATTTGAGAATTATAAAACTTAAAAGGGCAAAAATGAAAATTAAAAGTTTTGACAAGGTAATCCGCTTTTATATGTAGTATAGATTACTATATGAATTAATACAAATTTTGCATTCTAATTGATTAGCACTTCATAATTTCATTCTAGTTCTTTAGTTCTAATTGACTAGCAATCAAAAAATAGCCTAGTAAAGTTATTTTCAATTTTTAATTCACTTCTTACTCATATTCAAGTTATGACAAACGAATAAAGATAAAGCAACACTCTAGATCAATCAAAGATAAAAGAATGAAACAATTTGATGCCATTTTTCTGTTTCAACTCTCTACATGTCATTGTAATTTGCATTAGCTAGGTCATTTTCAGCGCAACTATCCACATACATAACAAAAATTCCTCTTTTTTAAAAAAGGCATAACTCTTTTTGCCATGATTTTTCAACTTTAGACCTTGTTAACCGTAACTTTCTCTCTCGCACAGAAAAATGTTGGTCTAGTACTCAAGTCCGTCGCGCAAAATTGAGATGCGTATAGGACTTTAAAACTCCATTTTTTTTCCGGATTGGACCACTTCGGGTCCAAATCTTGTCATTAAAAATCATAGCATAGAACTCCATTAACAAGATAATGACGCCTTAAAAAGGGACTGTTGATGATGTGATTCACAAAACAATGTGTCATTCTCACTGTTTAGATTTTAATTAATATAACAAATTATGGTAGAGATTAGTTAAATTAATTAACAACCACCTTGAAAAGCAAGAGGACAACACAAGTAAGCTTTTGCCCATGATAGCCCATGACATGGTACCAACCTCCTCTTCTATAATTTCTCCTAACATATACAGAAAAGAAAAGAAAACAAAACAAAAGAAAGTATGGAAGAAGTTATGCCCAGGTCAATTCTTTAAGTCTTTTTTTTAAGATATACTAAAAAAGTTTCCTCATCTATTTTTTGAGTTTCACCTTCATTTTCTTCTTAATTAACTATCAAATTAAAACTATTATCTTTCCCATGGGGAACAAATTGGACTAATTTGTATTGATCTCTTCTAAACCAAAAATTTATAGGCAAAAGAAAAGTTAAAGTATGAATTACATTTAGATCATAGTAATAATACATTCAAAATCTTACTCAAATTTAAGCTTGATCTAAGCCGATTATGATTTATTCCTCTCTCAGTCAAAATATTCTTTACATGGTATGTCAACTAATAATCTCCTTTTTTTCCCGGGAAGCAAAGAGTCAAAATTTTCTATTTCGGATTTTCGTGAGACCACTATAAGATAGTTTGACAATTCATAACTATATTTTTCTTACACAAAAGGATGTTTAAAAAGGGCACTATTGGTTGATAAGAAGCAGAAGAAATAATAAGTAAATAGTAAAAATGTAACTTTCAGAATGATGAAGTAGGAAATAGTAGAAGTAGTACTTTTTTTGTTTTATTCATAAAATTTTAAAATTAGTGGAAATAATAATTCTTCCTCTTCATAAACATTTTTACTTGTTTCACAAAATTTTGGAAGTAGGAAGAGAGAAAGAGGGATTTTTTTTAGATTTTATTTAGAGTGAAAATTTCCAATATAGTGAAAATTTTGATTTTGTTCCAAAATTGATGTAGATCTTAGTTACTTCTAAGGTAAATCCTAAACTCTGAGGGATGAAAAATGATTTAAGAAGTAGAGGCAGCTTGTTTTCATGTATTTTTGTGGATCGTGCATTGAAAAGCGGGACCCATAAACTTAAAATTCTATGTTATTATCAAATACCTATTTGTTTGTTACTTTTCATGCATTGAATTTGAAGTTGACACATATGATAGATGCGACAAGTATGATCCCCTAAAATTATGCTGATTTTATTTGAATTTGTGACTTTAGTCACATATCCTCAAGAAAATGTATGCGCAACCAAACAACATTTGGTTGGATTTTATCCCCTTATGCAAGTATAATTTTATATCAATTGCAAAACAAACATGAGTTTGTGTACGGATTTTTCTAAATGCCTAGCATGCGTCATAAGCAATCTACAAACCAAACAATAACGTAGGGTGCCACATAGGCGCCGTGTCATTATTTAACGACGTACCGGAAGTAGCATTTTAAGAGAAACAAACAAATGCTTTTGGTCGAAAGTAGCAAAAATAGTCTGTACTCTCTTTACTTCAGCTATTTCATGATTGAAAGTAAGTTGAAAATCTTTTTTAAGTGAGAAAGAGTATCTAAGGTTACGGTTGCAAATGAAATACATGTTTATTTACTAAAAGTAAAATATTGCTGAAAAAAGAAAAGTAAAGATGATCTGGTAATATTTATTTATTTAGGTACTTAAAATGATACTACAGTTTCAATGTCCACAATACATACATGATTTACTCCTCATAAATAAGTTTTAATCTTTATCAGTGTCGTGATTGTCTATCTTTGTTCTTCCCGAGTATGATAACAGCTTTATAAAACATCCAGATCAAAATTCATATGTAAGCCATAAAGACAAATACAAATATAAACACAAATACGAGAAATTATTGCTCAAACAAACAAACTAAACTTTTCTAAAAAGAAGTTTATGCTTTTTTCCTCCGAAAAGGGCAAGTCAATCTAAGGATCCAAAACACATTTTTTTCTTCTAAAAGCCAAAAGGAACGCATCTTTACATCATCAAAGAAACAAAAACACGAAAATAAAAAAAAAAAAAATCGGAGAAAGAAAAATTCTCAATCCCAACAAACCCCCCATCATCCTCTTCCGAGTAAGTTACACATGCGTGCCGACACATAACAAACCTCTCTTGACGTCACCATCTTTCTCTCTCTCTCTCTCTCTCTCCTCAACCCCCCCCCCCCACCCCACTCATTCTACTATTAACAAACATATTCATCTCTCTCTCTCTCTCCCCCCTCTTCAATACTTCTCCCCTTCTCTCCTCTTCCATTGAACCTCCAAATCCCCCTAAAATTTCCATCTTTTCCCCTGTAATTATCACATTATGCCTTTCTATTTTTAACCCATTTCCTTCCCTTTTTTTCCCCACTGCATATAAAGTTATATATAATACCATCATCATCTATCATCATACATATTTCTATTCTCATTTCATTTCTTTGGAATACTAAATAAATTAAAAAAGTAATAATAATTACAATAATAAATGGCCGTCGTGGCTGAGAACTCGGTCGCACCGCCCCGATCGCCGCCGAGAACAAGACTCCTCCGCGCCGGCGGATACGGCGGAGCCCGGCGAGACCGAGTACCAGAGAGAATGTTCGGAAGCTAGTTGATCTCTTATCGAAGCTCAATCCCTCAGCGAAGGAGTTCTTCCCTTCGTCTTATCCTGCTCCGGCAGTGGTCCCCACAGCCGGCGATGGCGGCCAGATGAATCCAGCGCCGGCGGCCGGCTCTCTGCTGATGCCCCCGTGCTTCGTGGCGATCGACGGATTATTATAATAATATTTATAGCAATCACAGTAGCAACAAGGATTCGAGCAGTGATGGGTCGGGCAATCACCAGCTCAATCGCAGAGTAAGGACTGATGATGATGATGCTGCTGATTTTATTTTTTTTATATATAAAAGTATTTTTAGCTTTGTTTTGGGGTTCTGGTTTTTGTTTGGTTTGATGGATTAGTGTTGAATTGGGGGGAAAGGAGTGATCTTTGAGAAGGTCTTTGATGATGGCTTGTTCTAATTCGATGAAGTCTTGTTGGGAATTTTGCAGAGGAGGAATGGGTCCAATCAAGGGCGGAGGAGGATGAGTGAGAGAGCGAGGAGAGCTGAGAGAGAGGACAGTATTAGGAGGACTGTGTATGTTTCGGACATTGATAATCATGTGAGTAGTGATTGTGTTTGCTGAAGAATATGGTTATTGTTATTTGTGATTCATGTAAATTTTGATTGAAATTTGATTATGGGTTAATTTCAGGTGACCGAAGAGCATCTTGCTGAGTTGTTTGCAAATTGTGGGCAAGTAAGTGTGTAGGACTGCAAAATTAACTACATGAACTTTGATTGTTTTGCTTGTTGATTGTATTGTTTTGGCTTATAAGATCTTTTTTTGCTATGTGAGAATGTTAGATATGATACATGAGCTATGTTCTTTCGTGTTTAGGTTTATGAAGTGAATGTTTATAGTTAGTGTTGTTAATGCTCTAGTGGGGGTTAAGACATTGGAACAGAGGCATTTTGAGATTCATTTATGATATTTGTGGATCAAGAAATTTGAATTACCTTGTGTTTTGCCATTATTTGCCGACACAGATAACATGCTATGGTCAGGCCGGTACTCGACACTTGTTCACAGAGGGATTCTATTATTGTATCTGTAAGATGTGATCAAAGTGATGACTTACCTTCTCTTCAATATTTATTTTGGTACCCTCGTAGGATATTATGTGTGTATCACTCACTTTCGTGATTTTCGCTGAAACAAAAATGTTAGGACATTTTGAAATTGAATATAATTTATTTTTAAATTTTCTCTCTATACAATGTCCTGCTTATTTTAAGGGATAACAGAAATAATAATGTGTCGTTACTTGAGCATTAACTGCTGTATCTTAATATCTTGTCTTACATATTTTTAGCGAGGAAAAATGGAACCAAGAGGATTATTGGATAGTCTTGAGTGTGTGATTCAATCTTTTTTGCTATTACTTTTTTATTAAGAACTGATGTCTTTGTTTTAGGGTGTAGTTGTTTAAAATGTTCTTTCATATTTATTCACACATCAGGAAAATATATGTTCTAAACTATCATGCGCTTATGTGAACTGCTGTGCTTCCTCTCTTCATCTTGTTTCTTCATTTACGGAGTTGAAGTCTCCTTAAAAGTCATATACAACTGCCTTATGTTGTTACTTAGCAGGTAAATCTGCCATGCGTAGTTGCATTACTAAATATATTGTTTCTAATATCTTTTCCTGTGACTAGAACGTGGACCTTCCACTAATTTATATCTGAATAGCTTATCTAGAAAAATTAGTTGCGTATCGTACGCATGTTTTCCTATACATCATATGATATCAAATCCAAAATAAAAATTTAACTTATGTTCTCATATTAATTTTGAAGTTGACTGACCTTCACTGAGAAGCAGTTTGTTTCACTTCTTTTCATGTCATTCAAGCTTTGTGTGTTGTTTTCTAGAAATTGTTGCATGTCTGTTTGTTCTGTCCATTTCTTACCCATATCATGTCTTGTTACCATATCAAACATCTAAAATACTTATTCAAAATCCACTAATGAATAATGCGCTCTCTCAATTACTGGATAAATTAATGGAATTAAATATTTATCTTTTATAATCAAAATTTATAACCTGCATCTTTAGCCTTATATTTGATCATCTCTCTTTTCTTTCTGTATCAATGGCTACATAAGCACTGGCCAATGTCATGCCATGTCTCTTCCAGTTAGGCGTCTTGTGGATATCATGTTATCCTTGTTAGATAATATATGCTCTCATATACCACTAGCTTCTATCATGTTTATGTGAGCATTTATCTTTTTATTGAATTACTTTGCGAAATGAATTCAAAATATAACAGGCTTATGAACTTTGAAGCATATGATCTAAAAGTTTAACAACTTACATGATTTTGTAGGCACATTTTCCAAGGTAGTATGGCTTAAAATTTCAAATCATCATAAAATAGTTCCGTCGATATTTTTCTTAAATGATAAGTTGAAACCAGAACTATACCTGATTCTCAGCCGATGAGCATCACATATGAATTAGGATACTGATTGCCTATATTGGTGCCCAACACTTAAATCTGACATAGTGAGAACCCAAACCTGAAGAAAACCAAACGGTCCAAACCATAACAAAAAATCTTAAGGGTAAGTTTGGGGTTAAATTTTGGTCCCAAAGGCTATACCCAACCTAGAATCCTATAGATATTGAGATTTAAGAATCCAAACCTCTAAAACCCGGATCACAACCCAGAACCTTAGGTGCTAATTGGGTTAATCTCTGGATGTTATACTGTTTGAGGCTAGGGTATTGCAAATCCTAACCCAAATGGCCGTAGTCTTTGACCTCCTTATTTGATTTCCGTAAACCCTAATCTTATAAATATAATCACCTAGACCACAAAGTACTTTCCGATTTTATGTTCTTGCCAAACTAGATCTTGTAGTTTCCATTAAGTAATTGCTGTAAGTTTTCTGGTTTAGCTTATTAGCATCTAAAGGATATGTACATTGATCAATGATACACTTTACTATGATCCATGTTGCGTTGCTAACGTCTGACACAATCTTGCCTGTTTAACACCTCTTTTGCTCTTGTTTTCCCATTCTATAGAATAAGGACATTACTTCATCTTCTGACAAAAATATCTATCTATTTAACTTGTTTCCCATGTTAAGTAGTCTCTTGCTCTTATTTCCATTATTCCAACTTCTTATTCACCAAAAAGGAAAAAGAAAAAAAGGGACAAAAGATATGAATCTTCATGTGCTCTCTCTCTTTTACACACGCAGAAACACATAATATGTTTTGTAGCTTGTAAGTCTTCACAAATGTTAGCTTCTTTATGGTTTCCAATTATTATTATTTTTTTTGCTTGTTAAGATGAGCAAGGAGAATTCTTCGTTAAATGATTGTTAGGTAATGACTGGTCTGGAAGAAGTCCTTTTTCTTCTTGTGTTATTGCGGAACTGTCATTTAAAGTTCAGATTACCACATTTGTGAATAATTTTTTTCTTTTTTCTTTTTCTTTTTTGAAATAAAGTAGATATAGATGAACTAAAGTTAATACATGTACAAATAGCTATATTTTTCTGTACTTTCTATTTCTAATGTTAAAGGTTTAGTGCCTTTTTGTATCTTGTTTCGCTAGAATTTTAGATATATGCACCTTTGGTTTGTATATCATCACTGTAATAAAAGTTTACTCATCCATGTAATGTCCTACATGACATATTCTTCGTGATGCATCTACATGTTTGGAACATTGCAAATGTTCCTACCATTACTATCTGAGTTGAGTCAAAGACATTTATTTTGCATTTTTTTTATAAAAAACGTTATGCTTACATTACTTTTTCCTTTCTTATATAAAGACTCTACAACATTGGACATAAAATTCATACGCTAAATATATCTAGTTCAATAAACCATGTTACATCTTAGATTAAAAAGTTAGGTATATAGATTCAAAAAATAAATACCTATCTTTCTTGTTGACACCTTGAACTTGGCTTGATATCTTACGCCCAATATTGTCTAGAAATCATAGGTATAATCGTATTAGAACTTCAGTATGCTAGATATTATCAGTATTTTCCACCATGAGTTCTTAACCGTGTCCAAAGGTCTTTCAACTTCCCAGTTTATCTCTGAATCCTCCCTATACAGTGTCTATTCTCTTTATATTCAGGTTAAATGAAAATAATGGATGACATGTGGAAATAGAAGCCCCAATCCCAAGAATTAACTGCTTCCTTTTGTCACTCTCATAATATGTTTTCTCAGGGAGCTAGCACGTGAAAAAAATTAAGCAAAGTGTTGTGTTCAGTGATCTTGCTTCTGTAGTTTCCTCTTTCTCACTCTAATAACTTTTTTGCTATTTCCATCCATAACCAATAAATTAGTTTTGTCCACATGTTCTTATGTTGATTTTATGTATCTCTTGATGATTCAAGGTAAATGATGCAAGGCGTTATTATAAGTACATTCTCTGCTTCTTTTTTCATTTTTCTCTCCATTTAGTTCCTTTACCTTTGCATGGTCACTTTAGCAGGTTAACCTGATCTACAGGATACTTGTTGTTAACTATACTAATTTCTCATCTTGAATAAACTTTTATTTGCATTATTTGGTAAGTGGTAAGATATGACTAGCTACATTATAGAGGACTAGGATGTTGATCCCCATCTCCTCCTTGCAAGCTAAAAATGTGTGTCGGTCATTATCCTGCATGCATTTTTCGAAACTTTTAAAGTTTTCTTACTTGTCTAATATTATGAATGGATATTCATTCATGGCAAAAGATACTATGAACTAAAACTTTAGCTATGTCCTGGTATAAACTATTAAGTTATTATGTTTTAATTGCTTTATTCATTTATTTAAGGTTTTTCCATATATGAATTGAAACATGAGCTTGAACAAAGAAGTGTAGCTTAGTCATGTTTTCATATATGGGTTTTGGAGAATCCTCATTCGTTTCATCCCCAGTTGTGCATGAATTAGACTCACGCCAATGCCTACATGTTATAAGTTCAAAACAACTGTGATGGGCTGAGAAACTTAAACATGTACTTATTACGATGCCTTTATATTACCCATTTTTTTACATGAATAGTCTATTAAAGGTCTGATATCACATTTAGGGTATGACGGTATGTTCAGTTGGAGATGTGGATGAAAAATTGATTTTCAAACAAATAGTACAGTGTATTGCATGTAAGAAAAGGTTGAAGACGTTTCTAAACATAGAGAAGCAGGGTTTATCATCATCTCAAAATTTATGTTTCCTCGTCCTCACAAAATGAAGCGAAGTTGGGTAGAAAATCGCTATCCACAATTTAAATATATATTTTTCACTTGCCAACTCATTATAAGCCACCCAAGTATTAAAAGTAATAGATGTAAATAGAAGTTGTTCCCCATAGGATACTCATGCCAGCCAAACAAGAGAAGTTGAACAGTTTTATAATGAGAAAAAAATTGATAAAACGAAGTGAATCCAACTGAAAAAGAAAAATGTTTATTTAATTATTTCCAAGTCACACTTTGAAAACTCATGCAAAACACGTCCTTATAGGAAACTATATGCAATAGAATATATTGCACAAGTGAGTTATTATAATATTCCTGTGTCATTTCTCGTCGGGAATAAATTGTTGTCACTGGCCTTGTGCTTTCACCAGATAACCTGGGTATAACCATGATAGCTTTGGCTACTGTTATTGTTTTGGAGGTCAAATATTTCTCTTTTGAATGTGGATTGAGTATCTAGCTTCTGAATCAATAAGGTTATACATTCATTGCTTTTAATAGTTTTATTTACAATTCAAATAATCTAATTTCAAATCAGGGAATGTTAAAATAGGAATTACCAGTGTTAGAGTATATTCATGCATTAATAATATGTTAAATCATATGTTTGAAATCTCAAAATCAGTTAACAGTTTTGGTTTGTCTTACAGTATTATCAGTACATTTTTTATAGTTTCAGATCAAAATTGTCAGTACATAAGTTACTTTCAACTTAACCTTTTCAGTCACTGAGTTTCTTTCTCCTCAATATAACTCTATAAAGTCAGTTATTTATACTTCGAACCTCAAATGTACTCTTGCATTAAGCCATTATTAGCCAATATCAGACCATATTATTCACATTCCCAGTGGTATCGGCAAGCTTTAGTGGGATAAGATTAGCATGCTTGAAATCTGATACTGTGCAGTTGGTAAGTATTGGTATCAGCTAATGTGTTAAGCTTTGGTCCAATCTTTTTAGCAGTTAATACGACAAACATGTATATATGTTGCCTAGGTACGGGTACAGGTGCGGGTACGGGACACGGAAAATTTGTAAAAAATAGGGTACGGGGACACGGCTATATATATATAAAATGATTCACTTTAGATCAATATTCCAAAAGTTAAAACTATATTCATTGCATAGGAAATAGAGTAGAAAGCTATTTTTACTTTAATTAAAAATTTAGAACTAATATTATTACCTAGATCTAAGTTGCATGGAAACTGGTACGGGTGCGGGTACCACCGTACGGGTAGGGGACACGACAAAACTGTAAAATGTTGGGTACGGGTTCAAACTACATATATATATTGAATTAATAATGTACATGAGATAATTTTTTTCTGCTTCATGTGTCATTAGAATTAAAATTTCGATCACATTTTTGAGTTTATTTTATCATATTAACTATCGTGAATTGTAAACTACTCATTTTTTACTAGACATCTAAACAACCCATTAACTATATAGTTTTGAACTTGGGTATGGACTGAAACGAACCCAACCCGTATCCCATTAGTTTCAAAAGACGGATTTGAAGTGTAAGTTCTACGTCCAGGAAGTCTTTGAAAAGTGTTTTAAATTAACACATATATCATATAATTGAGTACATGTTGTAATAAATGTATGCATATATTCAGAGGCGAGCATACCAAGCCCTAGGAGCTTGTTTCAACCCATATAAAGCTTTTTGTACCCGGTAAACATGATTAGGAAAAGCATGATCTATAAAACCGGGGGGGGTTGCTCAACGTACACTTCCTCTTCTATAAAACCACTTAAGAAAGCACTTTTGACATCCATTTGAAATAGTTTGAAATTTTTAAAACTAGCAAATGCCAAAAACAGACAACCATGTCTGATTAAGATCAAAGTGCATCAATGATCCCATACAAGATCAGTGATGTAGCTTGGGTGGTCTAAAGCCTTTTTCGGAATATTATTTGCGAACTTTGAAAATTTAAAATTTTTCTACATTTTTTCTTTATATATATATATATATATATATATGCTTGAAATCTGATACTGTGCAGTTGGTAAGTATTGGTATCGGCTAATGTGTTAAGCTTTGGTCCAATCTTTTTAGCAGTTAATACGACAAACATGTATATAACACAACCATGTCTGATTAAGATCAAAGTGCATCAATGATCCCATACAAGATCAGTGATGTAGCTTGGGTGGTCTTCTTCATGCATAGCCAAAACCCAAAACTCATCATTTAAAGCATCATTAACCTTTTTAGGTTCTAGTTGAGATAGAAATGCAACATTACCACATTCACTCAAGGCTTTTGAGCGAGTTATAACTCCTTTTGAAGGGCTCCCAATGATTTGTTCTTTTGGATGGTTTGATGTGAATTTCCAAGCTTTAGGTGGTTCAACTTGTTCTTGAGCATTGGTGCTATCTACATCCTTTTGAACTTCTATGGTGGGAGTGTCATTGATTTGCAACAAGTCCAATCCTCCCTCAATATCATCATCATCATTATCCTTCCTAGGCAAAACAACTTGAGAGCCAACATTAGTCTCATCAAAAGTAACGTTTATAGACTCTTCAACAACGAGGTTTCGTTTATTGAAGACGCTATAAGCCTTACTTCGAGGTGCATAACCCAAGAAAATACCAACATCAATTTTGGAATCAAATTTATCATGGTGATCTTTTGTATTTAAAATAAAACATTTGCAACCAAAGACACGAAAATAGCCAATGAAAGGAGTTTTTCCAAAATTTTATACTTTCAGGTAAGGAAAAATATTAGACATGTTTCATTTTTCCTATGTGTGGAGTTAGTTGATGTTATATCTGGCAGTCATTTATGCAACTATGTTTCTCTGATTAATTTTAATTGTCCATATTGAAGGTAGTTGATTGCCGGGTTTGTGGTGATCCCCACTCAATTCTTCGATTTGCTTTCATAGAGTTTGCTGATGAAGGTACATCATATATAAGCCTATTATCTTTTATTACTATACATACTAAGCAATTTGAATTTTCTTCTAAAATCATAATACTAGTCTTTTTTGTATAATAGATGGTGCAAAGGTAGCACTTAATCTTGGAGGCACCATGCTCGGTTATTATCCTGTCAGAGTGTTACCTTCCAAGACAGCTATCTTGCCTGTGAACCCTAAATTTCTCCCAAGGGTATGTGTTCATTCTTTTTGTCGTATTGTATGTGGAATCTTATAGTTATTTTTCAATAAATATTTTCAAGTTGAGATTTGTTGCAGTCTAATGATGAAAGGGAGATGGTTGTGAGGACAGTCTATTGTACAAACATTGATAAGAAGGTAGTCATATTTTTCCCTATGGTATGTAATTCAATGGGTTGATTTCACAAATCCCCCTGAAATTTGAGGTGTTTTGCACATAACCCCCCTGAATTTTTTAATCTCCCCCTGAACTTTGGGGTCTCACAACCCCACCCCCACCCCCTTTTACACTTTTATCAGCTGACAAAATAGCTCTTAAGCGAGGGGGAAAAAAATCCCTTAGTTGGGGGGAGTGGGTACATGTTGCCTGTAAATGAAAAATGACTAAATTGAGGACTTTTCCCTGTCAAGGATGCCTTAGTCATTCTCCAACTATAGATAGGACGGTTCGGTGAGAAAACTCCAAAGCTCAGGGTGGTTTCTGTGTGACACCCCAAATTTCAGTGGGGTTATTTGCACCACACCCCCCCCATAAAAAAAAGTTCAGGGGGATTCTGTAAAATTAACCTAATTTAATTGGAAATAACATAGATAATCATATATATCACGGCCCTGAAAGATCGTGTTGTTCATTGAAACCTTGTAATTTGACACTTTTTCATTTTTTGCAGGTCACTCAAGCTGATGTAAAAGTTTTCTTTGAACATGCCTGTGGTGAGGTTGGTATACTGTTTGCAAACTTGTACTTTAAAGCGTGATTTCAGGAATTCATTTGTTAACATAATTTGTATTCTTCAGGTTTCTCGTCTGAGGCTTCTTGGAGATAATGTGCACTCGACGCGCATAGCATTTGTCGAGTTTGTTCAGGTAATCATCTCTAAAATTTGTCTTCCATGGTTGAATCATTCAATTATATTCTTTTTAGCATTAAATTGCCTTCAATATTTGAGTATGGTTAGATAATCATTAGATGCCATTCTCGTCTGCTACATGTTTCCTTGTCTTTGAATTAATGTTTGTTCCAATATTTTCATAAATGTCGCGAGTTTAAAGTACATTATGTAATTTACGGTGCATTGTGTAATTCTCTTTATATATATGCGATAGGGGGTAAATAATAACCAAAGTTGCAAGCGCACAACTATCAAACTATAGTATACAAAAATGTCAATCCCACGAGAAAGGTCTTGTAGGAGATAATCAAAACTGGTTTTAAGTTGTGTGTGTGACAATTAGGAATGATAGGAGTGGTTGTGGAGAGATAAAAAGAGTGATTATGATTATAAGCAAATAAAACAAAAATAGATTAAGAGGGGAGACAGAAAGATGAAAAAATAGAGGAAAATAAAATCAAAAAATAAATAAAGAAAAAAAAATCAAGAAAGTAAAAGATGGAGGATTCAATTAGAGATATGAAGAATCTAGAATTGAATCCGCTAGTTAATTTTATGTGAAAATTATGAACTATTCTCTTTTTATCACATTTTACTTAAGATTTATTAAGCATAGACTATCAAACCAGTTAAGGAAAGCATAGCCTATTAAATCATCATCCAAGTAAAATTAACATTCATAAAAAGAATAACAACTAGATATTTATTCTATAATTCATAAACATAACCTATAAAACCACTCAAGATAAGCATAGAGTATTAAATTCTTATTTTACTAATTAGTTCTCTAGTTGATTATCCTAAACATAATTATTTTAAGCACAAGAGAATAATCTCACAAATTATAAAAGAATTCAAACTAGTTTCATATAACTTTAGAATTCTTACAAGAATTAGTTTCACATCTTAGAAAATAAAAATAAAGAAATAAAATCTAGACTAGAGAGAATAAAAAAAGAGAATGAAAATAAGAACTAACTACAAAGAGGAAAATAAGAATAAAGATTAAAGACCTAAACTATGAACAAAAAGAAAAGAACATAAAAGAAAATTTAAACTATGCAAGAATATAAATTTATACTACAAATTAAAAAGGCAAAAAAATAATATAAAAATAAAGACATGAAAGTAACTCTACTTTACAATGCATCAAAATAAATCTACAACAAGAGGGTTCTAGCCCCTTGAATAACTAAAATAAGAAAAGAAAATATTATAAGAAAATAAAAGATAAAAAGGAAAATTTACATTGCAAGAGGGTTGTAGCCTCTTGAAAGCAAATCTTCATATTCATCATCATCATCAAATAAATAGAAGAAAAGAAAATATGAAGATGTGAATTTTTATTATTAATTACAACAAAGTTATAATTTTTGGAACGTCTTCTCAATTAAGAGTAATCCTCTACTCCAAATAGAGTTTTTATTAAACTTTTCACACTCAAACCCTGACCTTCTATCCTTATTTATAGTCTACAGCAAGCAACAAGAACTATAAGATTTTACTTGGGCACCAATGATTAAATCTTAGCCACAAAACAAGTTTGTTACGAATCAATCGGTTGACCAACCGATTGGAATTTTAAATTCTAAAAAATATAGATAGCTCTGTCTCATCTAAATAGGTGATTTTCATATATTATATGTTAAATTTCGCCTTCCGGTTGAGAAATATCGTCGTTTTTTGTAGCTAATCATCTTGAGCATGATTTCAACTTGATTTCTTTTTATATTAGATCCTTACTTCTTCTGCTTCTGTAGATCGCTTGACTTTATCCCAGCCTTTTTCTTTTAAAAGGTTAAAAAGAAATAAGGAAATTTGAGTTCTGTTTTAGCTCTTATTCATTAATGCTTCATTAACTTGCAAATTAAGATAAACATATTATTAGTAACATATTTATTTAAATAAGTTAGATAATGAGTGTATAAAAATATAATAAAAATATGATTATCAAATACCCCACACCTAAACTTTTGCTAGTCCTCTAGCAAAGAAAGAAAATAAAAAGGAGAGAAAGAAAAATCCTTACTCACTTTCACAGGAATCGCGGTTGTATTTAGTGCATACAACAAGATTTTAAATCCCAAGGTTACCCTAGAGGACGAGTTGTAGTCTCATGAGGGTTTACAGTGAATATACTCACAAAATTAGATTAACTTGTCAATTTTAAAAAATTAGTGAATATAAAATTTAATTGATATATTTTAACATTCTAATTGAATCTAGTTTTTACTCAAGAAAATATTTTTATATATAACTCTAAGGTAAATCTTTTAGAAAATCTTTTCATTATAGTACAAAACTAAGTTTAATTTAGAAATTTAATTTGAAAGTTTTGAAAAGAACATGCTAACTCTTTATTTCAAATACTTTTCAAGTCTTTTGATCAATATATTTTTCAAAAATATATACAAATATAACTATATATATATATATATATATATATATATATATATTCCTTTATACAAATAGGAGGATTAGAGATTCACTGTTCATGCTACAGTAATACTACAGTAACATTTACTGTATCATTATTACTGTAGCTAACAAATAATTAAAAATATTACTGTAGCACACGGGTATACTGTAGCATTTAAAAGATACTGTATCAGAGCGGGATACTGTAGCACTTTCAAAAATTCAAATCATGCCATCTTAAAAAAGCGGGATTACTGTAACAAAAAAAAATACCGTGCTTTGCACGGATCGCAAACTAGTATATATATATATAGGAGAAGTGTTCCTGAGGTGACGTCTTAGATAATCATGTAAGGACGTGACCTAAAATCACATGATTGAGCTACATTGCAGATGATCCGTTCCGTTGAACTTGATCTACATATTCTAAAACCCCAACACACTAAGTTTAGGGTGAACCCATCGTCGTTTGACCCTTCATCCACTCGTATCGATTTTAACGGTTTCGAATGAATAGAACTTTTCACATGGCACGAAGGGTCAAACGCGATGTGTTAGAATATGTAGATCAAGTTCAACGGAGCGGATTATCCACAATGTAGCTCAATCATGTGATTTTAGGCCGCGTCCTTAGATGACTAAGGAGTCACATTAGGAACATTTTTCCATATATATATATATATATATATATATATATATATATATATATATATATATATATATATATATATATATATATATATATAAATTTTAATTTCCTTAGTGATTTTGTTCTATTTTATCGAGCTTTCTAAGTGACCATTTAACAAGTTTTAGGCCAATGAATCCCAACATAATTGGGCTTAGGTCATTAAGTATGAAAATACTCATTAGGCTTAATTACTCGGCCAATTTAGGGTTTATAAGATAGAATCATCTTGAATTTCAAGAGAATTTTTATTGGTGCTCATTTTTCACTCTCTTTTTATTGCAAAGTTAGTTTTTTACTATATATATGTGTATAGGTATACATATCTTGAAAAATATTTAGATCAAGGCAACTTGAAAAATTATTTTCTACTCTAAGCTAAGCATGCAAAAATTGCATTACTTTAATTAAAAATCTAAGTTAAAACTTTAATGAAGTATACTACTGCGAAAATTATTTCTTAATTGATTTATTTAGAGTTATCATAAAAGGTTAATTTGAGTATCAAACTAACTAAGAATTAAAAAATTTAAAATTTATCAAGTAGATCTATTATTAAGTAACTCTATTAAGTTGGCAAGTGATAATATTTTAATGAAAATGACATAAAAAAAGAGAGAAAGTGATAAAATAAAGAGGAAAAATGACTAGTCTCCACCTCCACATTTAAATTTTAGATTGCCCTCAATGCAAACTGTATGATGTACAAAGTAAAGCAGATAAGAAATAAAGCAATTAAATTTGTTCGGTTGATCTAGAACAAAGAGAAAAACTACAACTACATTTGAAGAGGATGAAGTCAAAATTTTATTGTTTATTTTTTTCTTCTTTTTTTATCATCATTTTTTCAGAAATTTTTCCATATCTTTTTTTTCATATCTTTTTTCCTCACATTTTTTCTTTTGTTATTTTTCTTTTTTTAAAGAACAAGAAACTCTCAAACGAGAGAAGAATAAATTATTTTTATTGTTTTTATTATTATGAGAGAAAACATAAAGATGTAGAATAAAGGATTAAACATAAAAAACTTATGCTCTACATCAAATCTCAACTTATTGTTAAAAATTCTACCTCGAATTTTAAAGAAATCTAGAATGATAAACTCAAAAATGTGCTTAAACTCTGTATACTCCGTAGTTTTCAATAATTTCTGCAACAATTGAAGGTAGGTATCAATAATGTTATGCATTTTGGATTTCTAATCCTCAAATTTGAGCCTAGATTCTTTATTAACGAAAGTTTGTCCTAACACAACCAGTTCTTCTTTAAAAAATTCCTCAAACCCAAGATTCATTGTTAAGGTATGAAAATTCAATTATTGTTTGTTTTCTAGGAATCTAAGGTCATCAGCAAAAAGTTATTTAGAACTATGATCAGAGAAACATGTATCTAACATAGTTGCTTTGTTCTAAAACACTTGATCTGATTCTAACACATCTAATATCTTCAGCTCCTCACTGAAGATTTCCTTAAAGCTCAGCTCTGACTTATTCTCTTCTTTGGGAAAATGCATGTCATAAAGAATGGGTGATTTAAGATTTGCTATTTCTTTAGTTTTTTTTAAAAATGGTTTAATACGGATTAATCGATTGGTATCATCCTTAATCCAAACTTGCTATACCAAAACACATACTTTTTGGATTTTCCCTCTTTTTTCCTTTTTTTTTAACTAAAAAGAGAATAAGAAAAAAATCCTTTTAAAAAACAAAAGTTAGTTAGTTTTTCCTTCTTTTAAGACCTAATAGATTAATGAAAGAAGAAAAGAATAATAAAAGAAAAATCTAACTAAAACAAATAAAAAGCAACCACTTTGAAACAATCACTCTTATTTCTAGGATTAAGCATAAGACTCAACTAGATCAGCTCCTAACTGAAAATTGCTTGAGTGAAAACACTGAAGTTTACTTGGTCAGTTAGCTAGATAAGGATAGTACTAGAGGAAGGCCAAAGACCAATTAAACACATCTTTCCTTGCGGAGCGCTTTACACAATCCCTAAATCTTGCCTTAGATACCAACATGTTCAAGTACATTTAAACCGGTTCACTTAAGGATTTCTTGTTTCTTAATTGAGCTCAAATCGTTAGGGGCCAACGTCTAATAAGTTTTAAAAGACTTGGATTTGTGTAGTGAGGAATTAGAGATTTGTGGGCTAAGGAAATGGTGATGAAATCCCTTACCTTATCTTGATTAAGGAATATTGCTCTTAAGAATATTTTCAAGTGTGTCAAATCAAGATGCTCAAATCACTTTGGTGAATTCCTAACTATATGCAATGCAACCCTAGGAATTAAAAGCAACTATAAAGGATGCAAAAAGGAAAATATTTTTATTTTTTAATTAGGGTCAACAACAAACAAACAAATGTGAGAGAACGAGCTTTTGTTTGGATTTATTATCTTGTTAGTAGTTATTTAAATGGTGGGTGGACTTTATAAGGGTCGACAAAAAAAAAATTTGTTTTGTTTTCATTAGCTCTTAATTGTCTCTAATGTGAAAAGCCTAACTAGAAGGTGGAATTAAAAATGTAAGAAAGAGAACTTACCTTTTCAAGCAAATATTCTCTCTAATTTTTAACTTTTTCCTTCAAAGTTGTTCCTTCACACTTAAACACACAAATTTAATGAACAAAAATAGAGAATTTCTAATTACAAGCACCTTCCCCGACAACTGCGCCAAAAACTTGATAGGGGGTAAATAATAACCAAAGATGTGAACGCACAACTATCAATGTATAATATAGAAAAATATTGATTCCACGAGGAAGATGTTGTAGGAGATAATCAAAATTAGTTTTTAAGTTGTGCGTGTGACAATTATGAATGATAAAAGTGGTTATGGAGAGATAAAGAGAGTGGTTGTGACTATATGTGAATAAAACAAAAATAGATTAAGAGGGGAGAAAGAAAAGATAAAGAAATAGAGGAAAATAAAATAAAGAAATAAATAAAAAAATCAAGAATAAAGAGAAAAATCAAAAGAGTAAAAGATGGTTGATTCAATTACAAATATGAGGAATCTAGAATTGAATCCGGTAGTTAATTTCACTCAGAAATTATGAACTTTTCTCTTTTTCTCACATTTTACTTAAGATTTATTAAGCATATACTATTAAACCTCTAAAGAATAGCATAACCTATTAAATTATCATCTAAGTAAAATTAGCATTCATGAAAAGAATAACAACTAGATATTTATTCTAGAATTCATAAGCATAACCTATCACACCACTCAAGATAAGTATAGATTATCAAATTCTTATTTTACCAATTAGCTCTCTAGTTGATTACCCTAAACATGATTATTTTAAGCACAAGAGAATAATTTATAAATTATAAAATAATTCAAACTAGTTTCATACAATTCTAAAATTTCTACAAGAATTAGTTACACATCTTTGAAAATAAGAACAAAGAAATAAAATCTAGACTAGAGAGAATAAAAGAAAGAGAATGAAAATAAAAACTAACTACAAAGAGGAAAATAAGAATAAAGAATAAAGATTAAAGATCTAAATTATGAACAAAAAGAAAAGAACATAAAAAGAAATCTAAACTATGCAAGAATATAAATCTATAATATAAAATAAAAAGGTAAAAAAATAATGTAAAAATAAAGACATGAAAGTAAATCTACTCTACAATGCATCAAAATAAATCTAAAACAAGACGAATCTAGCCTCTTGAATATCTAAAATAAGAAAAGAAAATATAATAAGAAAATAAAAGATAAAAAGCAAAATTTACAGTGCAAAAGGGTTGTAGCTTCATGAAAGCAAACATTCATCTCTATTTTCATCTTCATCATTAAATAATGAGAAGAGAAGAAAAATATGAAGAGGTGATTTTTTTTTATTAATTACAGCAAAATTATAATTTTTGAAAGGTCATCACAATTAAGGGTAACCCTTCTCTCCAAATAGAGTTTTACAAATATTTTTATATTTAAACCCCTCATCTTCTACCCCTATTATAGTCTACAACAAGCAACAAAAATCATTAGATTTTACTTGGGATCTAACGATTAAATCTTTGCCACAAAACAAGTTTGTTACGTACCCACTGATCGGTCAATTGATTGACTAATCGGTTGAACAATTGATTGGCTAATCAGTTGACCAACCGATTAGAATTTTAAAATTCTGAATAATGCAGATAGCTCCATGTCATTGAGATAGGCGATTTTTATATATTTTATGTTAAATTCCGCCTTCCGGATTGGAAGATATCGTTGTTTCTTTGTGGCTAATCATCTTGAGCATGATTTCAACTTGATTTCTTTTTATATTGGATCATTTCTTCTTTGGCTTCTATAGATCGCTTGTCTTGATCCCGTGCTTTAATAAAAGATTAAAAAAATGAGGAAATTTGAGTTCTCTTTCGGCTCTTATTAATTAATTCTTTATTAACCTGCAAATTAAGATAAAACTTGTTATTAGTGACATATTTGATTGCTCAGTATTATACAGTACTCTGTTGATTGATTTTTCTTCCATATTGAATTCTTCTCAGAATTCTATCTAACAAGTGCATCGCATGCTTACATCAATCTTGCTCCTTTAATTTTGCCAAAAGAAAGCGTCTATAGTTCTGTATGGCTTTACTCTACAGTTACATGGAATATAGTATATCCATAAACCTGCAGAAAGTACTTCTATCCTTGGAGATTTATTTGCACTTTCCATTTACACAATTAACTTTTTTCAAATTTTGTTTATAAAAAATGCTTTGCAATTTTATCGGTTTTTCACAAACTACTTATTTTGTGATTTCATTTTTATTCATTGGCAGGCTGATAGCGCCATTTTAGCTCTGAATTGCAGTGGAATGTTTTTGGGAGCTCTTCCCATCAGGTATAAATCATCATATATATCTCCCGTCATATCTCCTTGGAAATTTCACAAATTATCATGAACTTCGTGTGTTTGCTCAAAGTAACCATAAAATATTTTTATTAGATAAAAATGCCATGATTTTTTTTTCCACTGAACTACCATGTCCAACGACACTTAGGGCAACGGCCTGTTTGGATCTTTTTTTGGTAAACCATGTAATAACTACAGTAATATAGCCAACTCAGTCACATCAATCCCCTATTTGGCCAAACAAACGACCCCCTATTTGCATTTGCCCAAACAAACAACGCAAAGGCTATAGTACTGTTGTAGCATGGCAGCTAAGGGTCCGTTCGTTTCGCAAAAAAAACTTGGAAATTAAAGAATAGGAAACCTATTTCCTATAATAATTGTTTTGAGGTTGTTTGGTTGAGTTAAAAAAGAATGAAATTATAGAATAGGAGATGAGATGAGATGAGTTGTCACCTTATTATTAGATGATGTGAGTGATTTTTAAAAAAAACTTGTTTTGAGGTTGTTTGGTTGGTTAAAAAAATAAGGAAATGAATTGGATGTATATTATTGGATGATGTTTTGAGGTTGTTTGTTTTTGGTTCATTTTTAGAAATAAGAAAATAGATGAGATGAGTTGGAGGTATATTATTGGATGATGTGACACATACTTAAGGAAATTAATTTCTTGTTTTTTTTTTTTGAGGAAATGGATGGAAATGAAGGTTTAATGAGATGAGATGAGTTGTCACAATATTATTGGATGATGTGTGTGATTTTTAAAAATGGGATAAGATGAGATGTGATGAGTTGGATGATGTGACACATTTCTTGTGTTTGGTTTATTTTTAAAGGTAAGAAAGGAGATGAAATGAGATGAGTTAGAGGATAAAAATAATATTTTATTGGATGTTGTGGGTGAGTTTTAAGGATGGAAATGGATAAAAATATTATTTTATTGATTTCCTAGTACCGATTTCCTTTTTTTGGTTTTTAGGAAACCAACCAAACAGCCCCTAAGTTATCGAGCTAAGTTATCATGTACTTGTGCGCCTGACCTGTTTTGACAAATTTTGTCCTATTTTACTTTTTTTACTTTTATTGAGAAAGTTTTTATGTTTAGGGTTGATAGCTATTAATGCGAATGGTTTACATTTTAATGAAGAAGTGAACACAATTAGCAACAATTTTCCGCTTCATGGTACTTTATAATTTTGAAAGGTCGCATTTTTTCTAATTAAAAAAAACCTTTATGATAGTTTTGTTCAAAACCTGCAAAGTTCATGAAAGTTTTATAATCTGTGAAAATTTGTCCTATGTCTTTCATTTCCACATGCATTATTTAAATTTCATGCGCCATAAGTTATATTTATATATTTTTCAGGGTTAGCCCTTCAAAGACACCAGTTAGGCCTCGAATTCCTCGCGCAATATCAAACTGATCTGCGATTAATCTAACAACTGGAATGATTCGGGAGTCATAACCGATGAATGAATGAGTGAGAATTTACTTTTCATCCGAGAAATCCGACATTTTTATTATCAAAGACATCTTTAGCAATTAAACATAGTGAAAACTCCTGATGTTTCTATGGCACTTAATTTCCCTTTTTTTTTTAATGCTCGAAGAAGGAACCGAGTGAATGAGACTAATTTAATCTGTTGTTGTTGTTTCGGAGATTGTTGGATTTTGTGATCTTCTCCGGTAACTCCCTTGCAATCTATTAAGCTTTGATAGGTACTATCATGTGCTTTTGAGCAAATATCTACTATCATTGATAGATTTTCTTTCAATGGTTTAACAGTTCTGTTCTGTGGTATTTTTATTTTTATGATTACAGTTTTGTTTAAAGAGAAGTTATTTTTATCCATTTTCATGCAATTAGTTTGGTTCCCTTTGTGAAAGAGGTTAATATTCTTAATTGTTTAATGTATTATGCTAAAACTTTTTTTGCATTTGTGATGCACACTTTTAATGAAAACTTTTTTCGTGTATCGGTAATTTATATATTTACTAAATTTTAGTTTCGTAGTTGTAGTGTCTTTAGAAGACAGTATGCTTGAATCTTCATTTTTACTTAAATATTTGTGTCAATTCTTCACAATACAAAAGTCAGATGTGCAGATACTAAAGAAATCTTTTAAAAATAGAAGCGAAAAGATAATGCCAGAAAGTAATGATATCTTTTTCCCAAAAAGAGAAAGTTCTTTAACTTTCTATCAAAATAGGAAAACTCGTTCACTTTTTATAAAACTGAGAAAGATTTCAATAAATACAAAGATGCTGGCAGTTCATGATTTTAAAGACTATATATAAGAAGGAAACAAGTATAATTGTCGGGCGTGGAAAAAAAATTCATTTAACTTTTTGGTTTAAACTTCTGCATACATAGCCATTGAACACAAATATCTAGCGAGTTGCAGAAAATATATTAGTTTATACTACATGCCAATCTAATGAATATAAAAGTTAATTTAAAATTTATTCGGATAAGTATTTTGGGCCTATGAGTTATTTTTGGAAGTTGGTGGGTTAAGAATGAATGGTAGTATAACTTTGAGTTTATAGGCAAACAAAATCTTTTCCTTTTTCAGTTGAGATTTTAAAATAAATCAAGGTAAAAGTTTTGATTTAGGGGCTGTTTGGTTCGTTTCCTAGATATAGGGAAATGCAATTCCATGTAAAGAAACACAAGTTTTGAGTTTTCCAAACTTTTCCAAGAAATAGATTGTTTTGGTTTGGTTCGCACATAAAAATGGTGGGAAACCAATGTATTTATTTTTCTTATGTTTGGTTTGCATGAGAAAAAGGGAAAACTTTTGTTGATTTGACATTTCCCACTTTTCTTGTGTTTGGTTGGTTTTGAAGTTTGTTTTATGGTCACCATGGTAAAATTACCCCCACTATATACAAATTTATTTGTGCTCATTATATGAGGTAATCTTAGTCATAGAAAAGTTCGAATGTAACATGAACAAATAATAATATCCCGAATGAATTATAAATTTCTATTAGTATTAATGAAATCATACGAAACCTGAAATAACATGAATCAATTGTTATGAACTGCGTACCTGATTTGGCTTGAAAGATACCTGTTTGAGAACCAACATGTGCACAAAAAAACCGAGCACAAAATACCCAGCAAAACAACATATAGAACCAACATGTGCACAAAAAAACCGAGCACAAAATACCCAGCAACCAACATATAGAACCAACATGTAGAACCAACAAATGCCCACAAATGTTCTATGATAATATAGTGCACAAATAGCAACATAGAGCTAAACCCAACAACATAGAGCTAAGCAAGTTCGAATCAGCCTATTAACATAAAAACAGCCACGGGAGCTCAACGACGAGCACAAATTGCAACAAAATAGAGCTAAACAAGCTCGAATCGGCCTATTAACAAAAAAAACATCCACGGGAGCTCAACGACGAGCACAAATTGCAATAAAAAACCCAACAACATAGAGCACATATTATTCAATATCCATCCAAGGTTCTGACCTGTTGTATTATTCAATATTATTCAATAAATCCAAGGTTCGACGACGAGCACATATTATTCTATATACATCCAAGGTTATATAATTACTTTCCAGGCGAGAAGAAAAATGGTTGAAATAAATCCTTGTGCATATTAGAGATGCTTTAAACACATAACTAAGATTAAATCATCTAAAAATTTGTAAGCATAAATAGTCTAGGGATGCATCCAGTGAAACTGATGCCCTGGTGCCTGCCTTGAAGATCATGAGAAATCATTTTGCACCAATTCAAGATGAAATGGAACTTGTAAGAAATATGACATGCAAACTATTATGAAATGCATCTTCCTTTTTAAGATGAAACTTTTTTACTTTTTCAGTTAATTGAACTATTGATCAGAAATGCGATAACAAATATTGGATGAATCTAGACGAATTTAGTGAAGTTGCTTCAGTTAAGATACAAAAACTGCGTCTCTTGGTTATCCATTCTCTCCTCCAACAAATCCTCTTTCCTATTTCAAATCTATCATTTAGATACAGAAACTTGGGGAAAACATAAAACCGTCCAGTCACACTCATACAACACATATAACCACAACACAAGTACCTTCATGCAAACACACGCCTTGCACTTTTGAGAAGTCATAAGCTATAATTGTTGACCCAGGCTCGTAAAGTTGCCACAGTTACTCTGGTTTATACCAGAATTGTCGAAATTCTTGGAGGTAAATGAAATATCCATTAAAGTTGTGACACCTATTTTCCACATAAAATCTCTAGAATGAGTTTACCTAAATTCATGACCGTCTCAAACTAATCCTTATGTTGACAGGATTATTAAAATCTCTAGAATGAGTTTACCTAAATTCATGACCGTCTCAAACTAATCCTTATGTTGACAGGATTATCCACTTAGACTGTGTAATAAAAACACCTCTCATGACCGTCTCAAACTAATCCTTATGTTGACAGGATTATCCACTTAGACTGTGTAATAAAAACACCTCCAGGGATAACACATTGACAGCCTCGCAAAAGGTATAAAACATTTACCCAGTTCAAAGAAAGTTTGAAAATTTTCACAATCAGTTGAAGTATAGAAATTCCCAGTCTAAACTCTTGAAACCTGATCATTCCTTCTTTACTTCTGTCAGTAATATGTTCAAACTGTCTCAGCATCAACATTTATAAATTTTAATTCATCTAAATCTCTACAAACCCACTAACATGATCCGTGAATCAACAGATTCATAGAATATGGCATCAGGGACGACATATCTAGTCTAGAACTAAGTCATACAACCATTTTCAATTATGCCAAGTGATCGACCCAAGAGATCCTATCCTTGCATGTGTAATTCAAAAGAAAATTTCTTCCGCAATAATTATGTAAAAAAATCCGAAGTAAGCCCCTTGAAGATCTCTAGCAAAATTTATTCCAGAAAGAGATATCCTCGACATTCATGATGATAATTATAGTTTCAAAATTATTCTTCTCGTCAACCATCTTATGATAAAGTTATATCTAAGTTCACAAATTCCCCTGCAGCTTAAAATTGAGAACCCACATACTTATGCTAACATCTGGCATGTTCATTTTCTCCCAAATGAAAACTGACGTGCACAAAAATTTGAGCTCTACAGAAGGAAAGTCAGTAATTGAAGTATTTTGAAATGGCTACTAGCAATTCTCCAAAAAAAGGATGCTACAGGACAAAAGACGATAGGAACAAAAAGCTTAAATTCACATAACAAACTTCAACTTAAATTTTTACGCATTTAAAAGCATAATTCACCATTAAGTAACTCTAAATTAACACTACAATCACTCAAGAATTGTCTACATCCTACTGGACAAAAATAAGAGCAACAAATCCCCAAATTTTGATCCTTTTGATACAGAAAGAGACATTCTACTCAAAGCAACACAACAAACAAAATCAGTTTAATTACATAATTATTTGTGACTCCAGATTCTTAATTCGATCTAATTACTTCAAAATTTCAAAAAAAAAAAAAAAAATTGCAATCTACTCCTAAAATTAGTCAAACGGAAAAGGAATCACAGATCTCTCACCGAAAGTGAATCCAAGCGAGCTCATGAGTGCCTTATTACAGATCACGATCGAGACCGATGAAACCAGCAACAAGCTCAAGGCACCAACGGTCCCTAGCTGGTACCTATCACCTTCGCCCATTCTTGATCGCTAAATCAACGCTACAAACAAAATATAGCACTAAAACATCCAAACGCAAGACCTCAGAGCTCCAATCGAGAGCTCCTTCTCCGAAACCTAGCGAGATCGAGATCTCAGAGACTGAACTGGAACCGTAACCCTAAATCTGAGATCGGGATCTGAATTTGACCTGAATCTTTCTCGAATTGTAGAAAACCTAGGCAAACAGAGAGCAACAGTAAAAAGAGATCTGTGAGGTTCTTGATTTCTAGACGAAGTCTGCCGCCATTCGGGGGTCAGCGAAGGGAACGCCGTCGTCGCCGACGAAGTTGGTTGCCATCAAGATTTCAGATCTGAACAGCCGTCGCCGACGAAGTCTGCCGCGGGAGTTTCTGGCGGGAGCGATGCGAAGGAGGTAACTCTAGCTCACCAATGAAATCAACGAGGAAGAAAAAATTCGACGTGGGCAGGGTTTTTGTCGATTTCACTCATTTGGGGAAGGAATTGAGGAAGAGAAAAAACCCCTCCGTGAAGGCGATTTATGAGTTTGTTTCCCTCTTCAGCGCTAGCAAAACAAAGGTGGGGAAAAAAACTAAGGAAACCAAAAATCCAACGTGGAGGAGAAAAAATCAACGTGGAGGGGAAGCAAAAATTTTTCACATGGTTTTAACCCCTTATAAGCAAAAGACCAATTTACAATTCTTGATGATTCAACATTAGTGTAAAAATAGGTACACAAAAAATTGGTTTAAGCATTTTAATTAAAAATACAATTTATATTGGACAACTTAGATCAATTTACAAAATATTGAATCTTAAATAATATACCAAACTGCTAAAATACAAAGTGAGTTTAAAGTTAATTTAGTGTAATATTTTAAATCAGTGATTTTAGAAGCAGACAAGTATAAAATAAATAGGGCTAAAACTTTAGGTTCATAGGCAAAGAAACATTATTGAAGGGAACAAATCTAAGTAGAAATAAGGGCTAAATCTTTGGATTCACAGGCAAACGACTAACTTATAGTCCACTATATCGCAAATATGGGAAAAAATGGTCTAAATATTTGATTTAAATGTACAAATATACCTTACCATTTAGGGAAAAAATCATAATCTGTACTATTATAACAAGAGGAATGGGGTGTTAGAACTGTTCGCGGTGAAAATTGCCTTCATTGAATTCATTGTTATCTCAAGTAATTGCTTTTTGGTTATAAAAGATCCGGTCTTTTTTAGATCCGGTTACAACAAAATCAAAGAAAAAAAGAAAAAGATTACAACTTTCCTTTCGAACGAATCACGAGCTCCTGTTTTACGGTCGCTCGCTTGTGTGGGTTCTTTGCCAACGCCGGGGTTAATCCATGGACCACTGCGCGATCTAGATCCGGTCGGATCTACACGGTATGATGGGTGGAAATAATAGGGGGGGGGGATTAATTCACCAAGGAAATAATCGCCCTTAGTTCTCGGGATCAAAGACCAAGCTTTGATCCGGAGTGTGATCTCGTGTAGATCTCAGATCTGATCTTTACCTCTCTCGAACTCCTGCCTTTTGTGACGTGGACGTTCACCGAGAACCAGATCTGAATGTTCAAGTCCTCAAGTCTTCAAAACTCCAAGCTCAATCTTCAATTCGGCAGAGTTTCGGCTCTCAAAGTTCCAACCTTTTCAAATGAACCAAAGGGGGCCTATTTATAGGCTTTCTGAACTGTGCCCGCGCACAGATCTGGGTCGGCCACCTATAGGTGGCGGGCACTGGGCCGAGCCACCTATAGGTGGCTCGGCCTTGGCCAAGCCCCCCTTAGGCGTTGGGTTTTATCGTTTTGCATTTTCGGTTCAGTCCGTGATTCGGTTGACTTAAACTCTGATTTGTCGATCTGATTTGGCAGTAAATCCGATTCCTGATTTGGCAGTAAATCCACCTCTGAGTTCTAGTCTGAAACTGATCTTGATTCGATCGTGATTCATCCGGGTCTGCCCTTGGTTGGATGACTCGTTGACTCTTCGAACCCTTGGCTTGATTCCACACGCGAATAGATGTATTCCGTTGCTTGCGTGCGATTCGTTAACCTCGTCGCCTCGTTGGTTCGTCGGTTTGTACCGAGCTGTGCTAAGGGACCTATAAGCAATTTTATACGCCTACAGATACCCCCACCAAAGTATTTCAGCCTCGTTCTTTTATAGAAGAGTCTGTAATACTTTGGATATGATTGTCCCAACCTTCAGTCGGTATAACGGGACTTCGGAATGGCTTTTGTTCTTGATTCCTTCAATCCTTCAGGCTATTCGGTGTTTTGTCGAATGTCTGTAAGGTTTTCGGTGCTGCATTTATTGTCTGATCGTTGTTGGAATTTTAAACTTGAAGTCGATTCCTGATTTTCTAATCTTTAGCTCGTGTTTGTTGGTTCAACATAGAACTGACCGTCAATTGTTGGCGTTGAGTCTTTATTTGCGACGCGTTGTCCGGCGTAGTGTTGTTGAGTTATCCTTAAGAATAGTTATAAAAATATTCTCCAGGAACTTCTCAACCAAAAATAGGGAATAGTTTATATTCATATACCTTATTGGAGTAATTTCTGTGCCCGAATGAGCTGAACCGGCTTGATGATGAGCCAAAAAAGGCAGTAATTAGGCTCAAAAAATCTTCTGATCCTTCCGAATATTTGGGAGAGGCAAGAATGAACCAATGACTGAACCCTCGGTCGATTTGAAGTTGTTTCGATGCTCGATCCAGCTTTAATTTGAATTTTGGTTTAAACCAGGTCTGGTTCGGTTCAACTTGGTCTGGTCCGGTTCAACTAAGCTTGGTTCAACATTATAAAAAGTGGTCTTTTCTCCTCATTAGGGCCGGCCCCCCTCTCTCCCTTATTTTTGGATTTCTCTTCCCTCGAGCATATGTTCTCCCTCAAAACTTCATAGTTGCATTAGATCTAGTCTTCCTTTGGATCTTTGACTGATAAATCCCTCAAAATTTCCATATTTAGAATTTCTCTCAGACCCCTCGAGCGTGTGGTTCGAGCCTCTTTCAAGATTTGATTTTTGTCGGATCCACGAGCTTTTCCTCAGGTAAATCCTCAACCATTTTAGCATATTTTATGCTTAATTCAATTTATGAATTTGTGGGGTCGCATGCGAGGGTTAGGATTAAGATTTGGCGCCTCGAGCTCACCTTTCAGGGGGGGAGAATTGCAAAAAGAGGAACTTTTTCTGGATCTGATCCTTTAATTTATTTTACAGGTCACCATGTCTCGTATTGCGCGGGGTCAATCCTCTACCACGTCGGCTGATGGCGCGCCTCCCTCTTATGCTGGTGAGCTATTTTTGGAAATTTACAAATTAGTCCATTTTTTCTTGGAAATTTACAAATTGGTCCTTTTTATCCCCATTGTGTTCTCCTTGGTGAGGCAATCGGGAAGAGCCTTGATTCTCCTTGGCGAGGATCGACGCTTTAAAGATATGTTTTGCTTGGTCAAAACCATATCTCAATATAAAGGGGGCGTTTTAACGCTGCATTGTGCCTTATAAGGCAGAGATATATTGTCGATATACCCTATCTTATAAGTGCATAATATGGCCAAATCGTCTCACCCTTTGTAAGGCGGTGAATCTATCTTACCTATTCGTAGGATGAGTTCAACTTCCTTTTATAATTGAGACTAACAAATGTTTAAATGTTTGCTTCCAGTGGAATATCCTTCTAGAGCGTTTTCATCTCACGCAGTGTATGGGCGTCGTGGCGAGTATTATTCGACTTCCGACGATTTTTCCCCTATCCCAGTCACTCCTCAGTTTGCTTCGGGCACATCGACAGAGGTTGCCCAAGTGGTGAAGGAAGGTGGACATCGAGCTCTTCGCCAGTTGGTTACAGATGCGCCTCTCGTGAAGGATGCCAGTTCGATTCAGCCTCTCAGGAAGACCAACTTTTTATTTGGCAACTCTGCCAGAGATCCGGATGCAGTGTTTATTGATGCCGAGCAGTGGCTTCATAAGACTGGCAGTGGTTTCATATATTTGCCAAAGATTCCTCGGCATCGTTCGTTGACCGAGCTCAGGCGTCAGGCTGTGACACGGGAGATGTCGTGGCGCTTGACGGAGGAGCATGAGAGCGTTCACTACGGCTACATCACTCATCAGGTAGATCCTGGTTCGAGCAGGAGTCATATCACTGGATTGCATCCTGGAGTATTGGGGATGGATGCACCGCCGCGTAACGAGCTTCTTGCCTCTGCTTCTACTTTGAAGAATCGCCTCGCTGCTTTAGGACGGGAGATGCCTGCGACACGTCACAGATTTTATGGTTGGGTCCATTCTTTGGACAAGCTTTGGTGGACTCGCATGACGAAGTACGTCTTGAGCGATGAAGCGAGGAGTTGCACGCTTGTGGTCTGTATGCAGCCGTTCGTGCCACCATGTATGGTTTGCCTGTTAGCGCGAAGCATTTCTTCACTTTGTGCGAGCTCTATAACCCGGATTCGAACACTTTTCTGACCCGGTAAGGGGAGTTGGGCTTGGCCCTCCATGAGATGCACAAGATTTCTGGTTTGCCTATGGTACAGATGCTATATCAAGAATATTTTTCCTCCAACCAAGAATTAAGTCAGCTGAAGGATCGCATGCCCGATCGCTACGAGACTTTATGGGACCTCACATGTCACTATCATATCGCCTTGGCGCAGTCTGAACCTTTAGCGAAGAGGGCTAAATCCCATGTGAGCCAGAAACAGTTTGCGTCTTATTTGTTCAGGAATCTAGAGAGCAACTCTGGCGAGGCTATTTGTGAGCTGGCACCACTCACTCCTTCAAGGGTTAATAGTCTACTGAAGAAGGTTGATGCTCATTCCTACACTATTAGCAGTCCCGAGAGTGGTTTTCCTACAGGGACCAAGTTTAAATCATTCTTGTGGCATGCGACCGCGCCGATTCGACCAATGACCCTTCTAGCCGGTTACCTCGCTATCTGGTTAAAGAAATGTGTGGTCCCATATCAGTCTAGTGATATCTTGCCATTGGAGGTGCTCTACCCAGCGGTTCAGCTTGCCTACAAAAAGGAACTTTCGCTTCTTCCAGTGATGGTGGCTAACATTCATCGAGGGCTTCGACAGATTTCTAGTGCTTTTACACGGAAGGAAAGTGAATCATCGGCTCAGATTCCTACTATTAAGGTGGAGCTTCCGTACACTTATTTGATGGCTTGGTTCGTCCTTCATCGTTCTGATATGATGTCAGTACCGTATGCCTCAGACCCCTCCGCTCCCCTACTACAGTTGTTTGAGAATGGCAAGTGGGAGGGGCGAGGATTCCCTGACGTCAGACAGCAGCAAAAGGTCCACAAGTGTTGGGCGTATCCACTTGCTTTCCACAGTTCTCCGGCCGATACGGCGAGTGTCTGATTGATGAGGAAAAGCCGAGGGGGTATCGAACTCATTTAGACGTCGGCTGCTTTAACTGGCTGGTGAACATCAGGCCGGGTTATCTGACTTTCCGGGTGAGGAATCAGTGTTTCATAGAGCCATACCTACCCTGCCGATTCGCTCGCCAGTTTGGCTATGATCAGCTTTATGTCGGGAATCCACGTCAGCAGCTTCGGACCCACGGCGGTTTGGTGGACGGTCTTTGTGCATGGTTTTGGACCGTGACGGGCTGTA